ACGAATGATTTTTATAAGATATAAAAGTCAGTCGCGCATAATGAATGTAAGACGTAAAAAGCTACGAAGAAAATGGTTGACTTTTAGCTAAAGCAACCAAAAAGAAAATTGTAGTACTCTTTTAAATAAGAATTTTGAGAAAAAGAATGTCAAAAACGGAGTCCGTACGAGAGAGTTATGATTTTAGCAAAATCAATTAATTTTATAAAAATATGGACGGAAAATAAAGTCAAAATTAATCAACGGAGTCTAAACGAAAGTTGTAAATCTCGTCGATAGTTACGCGTGGATTTAAAGAACCTCAAAAATGGAGTTCGTATGAACGAGTTATAATTTATAATAGCATATTTACATATTAAAATAAAGTATAAACCATATATACATATACATATGTATATATCATTCGAAAGGTATCGACGATGCGGTCGTTGTAAGACTAGTGTTGAGTACTTTTGACATTAGTTTAGTACAAATATAATTAAATCCATATAAAATAGTATTATAAAGGGGTGTTTAGTCATTTAAATAACTATAAGGTAATTTAAGTAACTATAGATGGTGGTTTTCGAAAATTTAATTACTATAAATAAGAGGCTCTAGGCTCTCATATTTTTGCACCATTCTCTTGATTCAAGAGTAGTTCTCTTCTTATCCCTCCGAGCACTTCGGTCCCTCATGATTCGAATTCTCTTTCTATAGTTTTAGTATAGTAAGGTGAGCGTTGAAGCACTGCAAGAATCTTTTTAAAAAGATTCAACGAGGAAGTTCTGCCCGCGCAAAGCCTGGTTTCTCGCTAAACCACCTGTAAGTGAGTTATGCTTATCGTACATTAAGTATAACTTATGTTTAAGTTCATTATTGTTATTATGAACCTATAAACAAGATGTATCAGTGATTCAGGGTTGTTATACTAATTGATCTAGTTACGGGGATGATGTCTAATTTGGATTCAGTGATTCAGACCCTACCTCCAATATGATCCTACTTGGTTGTTCCTTACTTGATAGATCGTGAAGTTGACTTTGATGAATCTAGACTAATAATTAGACGCAATAAATATTGGCACTACTAGAAAATAGCCCTTTAATGACACGCAAACAATGACACACACTGATTTACGATACGTATCTTTTGTGCGTCCTAAAAATAATGTCAGTTTTCTAAAATATGAAGGATAGACGACACGCATTTTTGCGTGCCCTAAAATTAGTTTCCTCTACAAATGTCACTTTATAATTTTTACTAAACGCACGTTTCTAGGACTCCTTGATAGGTAAGGGGGAAAACAAAATCCTCCAAAATTTTGAACATCCGCCTTCCTCTTCCTCTTCTTCTTCCTTTGTACTCTCTACACCGCCATAACGACTTCATTCTCTCCCTTCCTTCTCTCTGCAAACCCCTTCCTCTACGATTGACTTTCACTTCCGTCTCTATGTAAACCCTAATCAAACATATCACATTCGCAATGGTAATATATTCTTCTTTCACAAAATAGACGATTGACCGAAGAACTAGGGCTTTTGATGAACCAGACATTGCCAACAACAATAGCTACCCATCATAATTTGTCTTCTCTCTCAGACTCCACCGCTCCATTATCGTACCATAACACCAGCCCTGAGCCACCACCACACTGCCTTCGCAACAGCCCAGAACCACCACTACACCACGATACGTCTTTTAACAAACCCTAAAAAGTCGTAATCAGTTGTCGCTTTACAGATTTAAGAGTTTTGGTTGCGGTGAATGTCGATGTTTCCTCTTCTACTATTAACTCTCTCATCTCCGACCAACCTCAACCTAAACGTGCCTCCCACCTCTGATCAGGTTTAATTTCCTCATTTTACTGTTTCCATAAGAGCATTCACCATCTGTCTTAAGT